TAATTCTCATAACTAACAGTGAATCTACTAGGATTTTTTAGAGGTGAATAGTGTTATAAAAGGTGTTTGAGGGGTACCTGAGTAGCAACCGACTCTTGATTTCAGCTCAGGTCACGATCTCACAGTTCATGAGTTTGAGCTCCACAATTGGCTCTGCACTGACAGTGTGGAGCCCGCATGGGATTCTCTCTCTCCCTCTGTGTGCCCCCCCACCCCAACTCTCTCTCTCTGAAAAAAAATAATAAGCAAACTTAAAAAAAAAAGTGTTCGAGATAACATTAAGAAGAAAACAAAGTCTATACTCCTTGGGTCCTTAACCTCTAGTGGTGTAGAAAGCAGAACATGAGGTAGACAAACTAAACAGGTACATATAAAATCCCCAATTCTAGGAATGCATGGATGGGGAAGGTCGGAGAATAGGTGGGTGTGCTCCAGGGTCAATTCTTGAGCTGTGATTTAAGAGGCAAGGGGTGTGAGAGACATATGGTATCCACTTACCAGCCAGAATACCCCAGAAGTCCACACTGCCCACAGACATCCACCTCAAAGGCATCACTTGAAATCATTAGTCTCTCTAGTAAAAGCATACTGGCTCCATAACCGATTAAACAGTCACGTTCCATCTCTCCAAGACGCAAACCGCCGTCACGAGATCGACCTTCGGTGGGCTGCCTTTGAAACAAGTTAGACAAAGGTGTCATTTTTACATTAAACAAACAGAGGGGCCGCATCACACACTGGCGGAGAGCACAAGGCTTCAGGGGAGGGTTCGCCTGGGTCCAAATCACTTACTAGACGGTGGCCTGGAGTTGGGGGCTTAGCTCGCCTCTCAGCCGCATTGGCAAAATGTAAAATTTAAGGCTCCCAAAGAGCCTTAAATGAGAGGAGATGTAATACTAGTGATTGCTACTGTTATTATGACTGAGTGATAATAAAAAATAATTGTGTAATATTATATGATATAGTAAGTTAATATATAATCATATAAAGCAGCAGAGCTACCATTGCTACTACCATCACGATATCATTATTGTTAGGATAGCACAGTCCTCAAGTCAGGAAGATGGTCTTTTGAGTATTTTCAGGGATATTTCAGTTCTGTTATTTCAAAGTGGAGAAACTAAGCAGAACAGACTGTGGAAGAAACCTGGGTCCCCAGTAGTTCCTGCCAGGGCTCCAGAGAGAGGCAGCTCCAGGTTATTAAGAAACGAACATGGAAAGAAGCAAATGGAGTTTTATAAAATTTGGACTAGATGAGGAATCATCTAGGAGGACAGAGTGCCTGAGCCAGAAGGGAAGTTCCCCAGAGACAGGGAAAGTCCTGTGTGTCCCCTTCAGGTATGAAAACACTCTATTCGTCCTTAGAGGGGGCACTTCAGCTGGGAGCTAGGAGTCCCCTGAATGGATTCCCTGGGGCTGATGTATCTGCCGTGCTTGAGAATACTTTGAAAAAGTTAAGAATCTAGGACTCAGAGATACAACTGGGGGATTCTGAAACCACACAGGCAACCCCACCCAGGTAGTGATGCCACAATGTCTAAAAAAGAAAAAGTGAGCTATCTCCCTGGCTGGCAGATTTCGGGGTGACACTCCTTAAGCAGGAGTGGACCACAAACCTCGTTTGCTCTATCCCACAGCATCTTTTACTTTTTACCGTTGCCACCGATTTTCCAAAGAGAAAGGTAAACAGAGTGGGGCCAACATGTGCTCAAATTTTACCTTATGTTGTTGCTAAAGGTTACATTAGGAACTAGACTTGAGTTGTAGATTATTTGTTCAAAGACAATTTACATATAAAAAACTGACAAACAGTAAGTCTAAATGAAACAAATAGTCTACATGAACACACCATTAGTAGAAACTTCCTTACTGAGCACAACTTATGTACGTCTTTACCTGCTGACAGAACACCTGGGGTAGGAGGGTCCCTCTCTCCCTGACCACTGGACAAGTGAAGGTGGCCAGATCATACATGAGCAGAACCCAGACTTGAAATAAACCAAGTGAGATAAGGGACTAGGAATGGGTAAATGCACTCTTGGCAGCCTTCCCACAGAATGCACTAAAGTACTAAAGTAGTAAGTTTTTTACACAATGAAGCAAAAACCGTTTTGACGCTTGTTACTCTGGAATCGATCTTAGATGTTATAACTGAAATGAAGGCTCTGGAGGGACCGCACTCAGGGGAGAGATACACCCAACCCAAGCAGGGTCTTACTGCTGGGATTATTGGTGTCCTCAGAATCTCAACTTCTCTTCCCTCTTCTGCAATTTTGAGCACACATGTCTATCATTTCAACAGCCATATGCATCTGCATCATGGGATTTAGCCCTCCACCCCCCTCCCTTGGTCTAAAAAAGTAAATTCACATACTAGTTGTTTCATCGCCGGTCCTGTCCCTATTGTAACATCTATGCCGTGATCAGTGAAGGCAGGCAGAGAACTGGGTATTTCCTGAGCATCCCCCATCGATGGGCACTATACATATATTCTATATTCAAACCTCTGACATTCACCAGCACGCCATGAAATGGGCATTAGTGTCGCCACTTCACGTAGGAGAAAAACTGAAGCTGCGAGAAGCTAAGTGATGTGTCTGAGGCTTGTGGCAGAGCCACAAGGTGGAGTTGAGTTTACGTCCATGTCTCTCTGGCTTCAAGGCCTGTGTTCCCTCTCCTGGCCCAGGATTCCTCGATGTTGGCATGAGAACCATGCTGAACTGGGTAATTCTTTGTGGTGGGAGCTGCCCTGTGCATTGCTAGGTATGTAGCATCATTCCTGGCCTCCACCCACTGGATGCCAGTAGTTTCCCCCCTGTCCCATCTGGTTGTGACATTCCAAGATGTCTTCAGACATTGTCAAATCTCCCCGGGAGGTAAACTTGCTTGTGGTTGAGAACTACTGCCCTGGACTATGCTTCTCCAACTAGTACTAAGTACACGTGATATAGTACAAGCAATGTAATACTAAGAACTAAGCACTAAGAACACGTGAAACAGTACCTGCAATTTCTTCCCAACAATTATACCCATTCATCAACACGCAGACACTGTGCTTGGAACTGAGGATGCGCTGGCGAATGGGGCACAGGTGGACCTCCTGGAGCTTATTCGAATGAGCAGGCAAGTACAGGTGCCTTATGCTCCAATAACAGAAATTTTAAGAAATGAGTTGTGGCTTGGGCTCCCAAACAAAGTACGTATGTGTTTTCTGTGTACACATGGCAGCCCACAGGAGTATCCACGTGTGTATCTATGATGTGTAAGTGTGTCTACGTTCTTACATATGAACCTTTTTGAATGAGACCACGTTTGCAAACAGGTACAAGGTCAATGAGCATGTTAGGCGACTACTGGCAAGACCTACAATGGGTCTGCTCTTATGCCTATGAAACGATTTTTAATCGGCTGCTATTTTTTCATGCTAACCAGACATATATGACTTTTGCTGATGCCCAGCACTCCAAATTTTGACATCTCAGGGAAAGAGAAACTTCACCGAGTCAGCTTATTGCTGTATCTGGGCAATGCAAGGTAGACTCGACTGCATTAGAAATTCTTTTTGTGAATGCTTTTCTCTTACCTGGTAAGAACAGCTCGTGGGCCCCGCGCCCGGGCATGCATCTTATCCAGCACCATGTGCTTCAGTTTCTGATAGTACACGGGGCCAAAATAGATGTATGCTTCTAAGGGCTCGCTGAAAGAAAAGGTCAGAGTTTTGGGCTAAGAAACCAAGTTTGGGCTAACAACAGACAGCCTTTGCCAGGACCCCTCAATGGCAGGGCCTTGCTTCAGACCAGGTTTATGAATGAGTGGGAGAGAATGATTTTCATTGTGCACTGAATGAAAAGGCAAGATCTGGAAATATAAAAATATCATGGATACGTTAGAAGACACACTGTTAAATTAAGAAATAAAACCTTAAACTGACTATGAAAAAGTATGTAGAGGAAGGTCCCTCCTTCACTGTCCTCGCCCTCATCAGGCTACTACCTTTTCTTGCCTGGACTCTTGCACACAGGCCCTGCTTCTGCTCATATCCCTTAACGATCTTCTTTTCACAGACAAACCAGAGTGATTCCTTCTAAAGTGTAAATCTCAGCACTAATCTGTATCATCCAAATTGTGTAACACAGCAATAAGGTCTAACATAATCTGGTTCTTGCCCGCCTCTGACTCATTTCCTGTTGCCTTTCCCCATTGCTCATTCCACTCCAGTAACACCGGCCTCTTCATTGCTCCTCAAATGTAGGAAGCCTGTCTGCCTCGGGGCCTTCGCATTTACTCTTTCCTCTGCCTAAAACATTCTTCCACCAGGTATTCACATGGCTGTCAAGCATCTCACCTCCTCAAAGACTTTCCTTTCCCTCACCACCTTATCTAAAGAGGAGTCCTGCTCCCACCCCATCACCGTGACCCTATGCTATCTCAACGCTTACCTTGGCTTTGCTTCTTCAGAGCACGGATTACCACTTGGTATTATAATCCACGTTTAGTATTTCCCTGATTATTGCCTGTCTTCCCCACCTGAAGTAAACTCCTCAGGATAAGCACTTGGTCTCCTCTGCCACTGTGGCTCCAGCACTACTAACCCTGTCTGGCACATAACTGGCGCTCAGTAAACGTCTGTTAAAATACAGCTGACTCGATGCATCCTTCGAAAAACTATAGTGAAAGCTGTAAAGGACAGTGAATATTTCAGTGCTTTGACAGGAGAAACCTTTTTTCTGTAGTTTGGAGCAATAGCAGGCAGGGGATTAAAGCCTCTGAACAATGTGAACTGCCCCAGAACGTCCTCAGAAGAAAGGGGGCTTATTTTTAAAATGAAGAAACAGGCACAGAGGGTCTGAGAGGTTTATCAGAGCTGCGGAACGGGCTGAGGCAGATCCAGGGCGCTCCCCGCCACGCTGGCCCGTCTTGAACCCCGTACGTTGGGCCACGGCACGATATGCGAGTGGGAAGAGCAGCGAGCTGTGTGGCAGAGGTTCCATCAAAGCTCTTGGTCCCTCCTGCTTGGCTTGTCTTCCACCACTTTCAGCGCCATAGGCTTTTCTAGCTGTCTGGCCACCGCACTGGCTTAAGGACAGCCAGGTAAGTGGGGTGCAGGACACAATGGATGGGGTGTCCGGAGACACCACTCCTGTCCCAGCTCTGTCACCCAGTAATTACATGACCTCTTTACCTCAGTCTTCCTAGTTGTCCAACAAGGGGGTCAGACCAAGGTTCTTTCCAGCTCTGAGAGTCAAGGTTCCAATCCTCCACATCATGGTTGCTCGTGGCAGAATTTATGGAACTCTGTCACCTAATGCCACCCCATCCCCAAATGAAGAGAGCCGTGCACAATTTTCCCTCCTGGTTATCTCAAGGATGTGGCAAGGGGTGAAGCTGGTGGGTGAATGTAATCGCAAGCCCTTTGGAGAACTTTCAACTAATAAGCTAAACTAATGTTTCTCAAACTCTGCCTCTTGAGATGAACGGCAAACACATGAAAACACTAGCTGGGGCATAGGGGAAGACGGTGTAGACAGAACCTGAAGTAATCTATCAGAAGCAGAGCATAACCCATCCAAATCTGTTAGTAAAATGATGTTTAGAAGGCCCATCAAATCCATTCATTGGATCTGCACAATTTCTGGTCAACTCCATTATTTATGGACGAGGAACAAAGACCAAGACCATCAGTTTCACCCTGACAACTGTAATTTTTGAAGTGGACGTCAGCTACCTTCAGTGCATCACTTTGGAAATGGACCATTATTCTCTTCCTGTAATGCGATTTTCTAGAACATCTCGGGCACGATACACCTAGGGAAATCTATGTTATCACAGTTTGGATAGATCATTTTAGAAAGCACTCAATATTTTCAAAAGATACACATTCCAGCCATTGTAATCCTATCTGGCCGATCTACATGCAGCACAAATCAAGCCCTGGGTCCTTATGCACGCCTCCACACCCAGTTTCACTTGTGTACAAGCAGGGTGAAGCCTCAGAAAAACAGTATAAACACCATGTCCCAGAGTTTTATCCGGCGTAAAACACAATGTGTGTCTTAACTTAAGCAGCTAATTTGATGTGAGTCAAGTTTCAAGAGCCTGTTTGCCCCAGGGTAACAGGAGGAGCCAGTGCTCAGCCCAGGAGAAGGCGCTTTCTCTTCCGCAAACTCACCTCAGGTGAGCGGAGGTCTGTCCCTTGGAAGATGTCAAACCCACTTCTCCTCTGCAGGAAACACACTCTTCACATGGTCTTCCCTTCTCATCCTCTGTATCACCCACCCCCTCAGAGACATCTCCTAACCCATTCTTTCCCTTCATTTCGGTGAGAGCTATTTGTACTGATTTGTTCTCGGTTCCTTTACTGACAAAATCTTTGTGGAGCACCCGCTGTGTGCAGGCATTGGAAATAAAACAGTCAACAAAACAGACAAGCCCTGCTCTCACGGAGGAGACAGGTAACAGTATTAGGCAGCATTATTACATGGGGTGTCTGATAATGATGAACGCGACAGAGAAATTTCAAGTAGAAAATGGGCAGTACAGTGAGGTGTAAGTTTTAAATTGGGAAGTCAGGGTAGGTCCTGCTAAGAAGTTACCTTTTGCCATATTTCTGCAGTGAGTCTAGTAACAAATTTTAGTGGTCGGCTCCCTACTTCAAGGACCGTGTTTATTTTGTTTCCCATTATATACCTAGTACCTAGCACACATCGTGAACGAATACACAAATGCTAGGACTCAGAGCACTAATTATCAGAGCACTGTCAGAGCACTAATTACCTGATATTCATCCTGTTAATGCAGAGCAAGTTCAGTGGTTATGGGATTTTACATTATATACAATTAAAAGTTGTATCGATATCCTATTTTGGTAAATGAACTCTCTTCTACTTTTAAAATGATAGCCTCACCAGTAAGAACAGCACTCCTTAACTTGTCAGTTTTCTGATTTGGATTTCCTTCCCCCAGCACTGTTTTACTGAGATATAACTGACTTCTACTGTGAGCAAGTTTAAAATGAGCAGCATGTTGATCTGATCCACTCATATATTGCAAGACGATTACCACTGTGGCTTTAAGCTAACCCCTCCATCACAAACTCAGATTTTCTTGTGTCCGATTTCTTAAAAGAGTAAAACTTATCCTAAGGTGTACCACAAGGGCTCTTACCTCTTACTCTAATAAAATCACGCTTTTCTTTAAAATGTCTAAAAACACACTTACCCTGTGATGCCAGATGTAACATAGTCTTTCCCCAAGTAGTTATAACCATGGCGGACGAGGTCTTCACACACGTCCTTCACTTTACTGCCTCCAAACGCAGTGCCGTAGTGGAACCTGCCGTCCAGCACCCCGGCCTTGCCGGCCAGCAGCTCGATCAGCTTTCCCACCTGTGGGGTCGAACAGCCTTAGTGGGCAGCTTCCTGGGGTATAAGAATTCTGTCTGTTTAGCTGTGGCCTACTTCCCCAAACAGCTGTGAGACGGCAGTGAATAGTTACCACTCTCCCACGTGTGACGCTTGGAAAAGCCTGACGCGTGGGATCCAAGTTTATGCCCCCAAAAGCCCCACGAGATCGGCACTGTTCTTTCCCTCAATGTACACATGAGGGAACTGAAGCACAGAGAGGCTGAGCAGCTTTCCCAAGCTGCACAGCCGGTAAGTGGTGGAGCCAGGATTGCAAAACAATAACCATGGAAGGGAGATACAGAAAGGTTAACACAAGAGGTTCTTTTTGCTGAGGGGCACGTGCATCCCCCAGAAGACTGCTCTTGAAGGAAGGGCCGGCATGCTTTGCACTCCCTCTCTAGAGGAGGGTAACCTAGCACTGTCAGGAGCTAGGAACCTCTTCATTTGGCAAAAGGCTCAAAGGGCCCTTTCTAAAAATAACTTTCAGGCTCTCATGGCCAACACTCCCTACGAACCCACTCCTGCCTTCTTCCTAAAAAGCAGTACCTCTGAAAAACGTACTGACCGTCATTCGCGATGGGAAGCCATGTGGGTTCATGATGATGTCCGGACAAATGCCAGAATCACAAAACGGCATGTCTTCCTGAGGGACGATCAAGCCACAAACACCTGAGGGAGAGAAGATCCCATGCCATGTAAAGCACATCAGCAGAAAAGAAGACTGCAGTGCTTAACTGGCAGCTCCCCACCGCTATCTCTACAGCCTTCTGCATGGTCTCCATCAAGAGTCACAAGAGCCATTTCCAACCATCTTGCCAGATGATACAATTTGAAAACGGCCGTCCTCGCAGAGAGCGTCGCAGCCTGTGGACTGGCCTGCTGGCACGACACCCGCTGGTGCTGTCAGGCTGCTCGCCCAACCTCTCCCGCCACGGAGACCCAAGAGCGACAACTCCGCTGGGCCCCGGCCCCTGAAGCTTCAAGTCAACAGCGATTTCGCTCCTGGTCAGCTAGTCTGCGATCTGCTACCTCCCACGGCCAAATCACAGGAATCCGACTCCTCCGCCAAACACAGAACTACCTGTCTGACAGGTGTGTTCACATTGTGGTTTTAAAAAACTGTGATAAGGAGGATCCGTGTGAGGCTGACTTGCTAATAGGGCACCCAGAGCGCTGGCTGATGGGCTAGTTTTTGCCAGGGCTTCCCTGGTTGAGCCTAAACTGCCCTAAGGAATTTTAATTCCTACCACTTACAACACATTAGGAAAATGATCTTTGATTGAAGCTGTAAAGTTGAACAAGAAAATTAAATGCCAGATCATTCTTGGAAGAAAAGGCTGGAATTAGAAACGTAATTCTAAGAATGAAAACAGAACAAAAACCTACCAGTTCTATGCACACTGATGGTCTCTTACATTATTTTATTACTCTCTTCATATTATTCCAACCTGTAGGGGATTTTGTTGCTTAATTCCTCTGATTTCATTTTCTTGGTAAGAGGGATGGGGCATCTTTTAGATTGTTAACCGCAACCTACACGATTTGAAATTGGAAAACTAGTGTACAATGGCATTGGATGGAGAAATAAAGTCCTTTCACACTTACTAAGATAAAATTCCCTTTCCCTTGTATATAAAGTTATCAAGTATGTGCACCTACTGCACAGAAACTGCTCTCCAAGAAATTCTTCATTCCTGTTTGATTTCTACATAATTACTCCAACTATTTTGAAATAAAATTTTTGTGATGTGTCCTAATCACCAAAAGCTAAAGTCTAAAGAAAAAGAAAGCCATGTGCTTTCAGTATTGGTTATTAATACCCCGATTTCCAGCGGCTGCCTACAATATGGTAATTAGGTTCGTGGTATTGAATTCTAGAGCACATAGGTACCATAATTGGCTTTTTGGTTGAAACTGTACTGTTTATTATAAAGAACGTATGCTTTCCTACATGAAGAACAGGAACAATCATTCAGTTCAGTTTATTTCAAATTCAACTACGAGGTCTTAGAATTTAAATCAAGCAGATGGGGCGCCTGGGTGGCGCAGTCGGTTAAGCGTCCGACTTCAGCCAGGTCACGATCTCACGGTCCGTGGGTTCGAGCCCCGCGTCGGGCTCTGGGCTGCTCAGAGCGTGGAGCCTGTTTCCGATTCTGTGTCTCCCTCTCTCTCTGCCCCTCCCCCGTTCATGCTGTGTCTCTCTCTGTCCCAAAAATAAATAAATGTTGAAAAAAAAAAAATTAAAAAAAAAAAAAAAAAA